GCCTACGCTACACACAGCTCACGGTCTCGTCGCGGGGAACAGAGGGGGCTGAACCGGAGAGCGTGGTAGTACTGCGCTGGGAAGAGCCGCGCCGTCGAGCACGCAGCCCCCATCGGGGAAAACCTGAAAAGCAAACAAGCAGATCTCTAGCAGCTCAATCCCTTTCCAGGAGCCTAATTCCATTTAATGGCTCTAATCGATTACATAGACATCCAGTGGTTTTCTAGAGTCATGCAATCTTCGGTCATATTCGGCCAATCTGTCTCAATGTTCTGACCAATGCCCGGCCCTAAAGTTCAGGTGACCGTCAACCCGCAGAGCTGCTTAACTGCGACCAGTGGGGTAACATCACGCTCCAGCGTTGAGAATCGGTGCTTGAGTAGATCACGAAGCTTTATTATTCGAATCTAGACGAATGGGACAGAGGCGGACGCGGAAATGGATGTCTAGCAATAGGGGATGTACCAGACACAGCCATCTGAAAGAGGCAGCCAGAGCCGACGGAATTCAAATGAATGCGCTATGAGAATGATGTGAGACGGGTACGCGACGTACGGGGACGAAAGGTACTTCGGCAACCATCACGGCTGTCGACTGCGTGTGGTGCCGAAGACTGCGCCGAAACTCGCAATCCTCCTTCATCTGTAACGCAGCAGCGCGGTCAGCACGTCGGCGCGCATGTCAAAGCACGCATGCGAGTTGTAATGGGTGAGGGTTCCGGAGCGGGCAAGGCTGAAAAGCTCGAGGGTCGAGCGGATCGTGTGCGCCGTGGTCGGGTTCAGATCGCTCGTACGGACACCAGGCTGACAGCAACTTGTGGAAGACCGTGCAGCGAGTGCCACGTTGACCGTGGACGGTGAGGTGAGCAGGGCGGGAGACTCGGAGGGAGGGGAAAGTGAGGGCAAGACGAGTGGAACTGCTGCGATGTTATATTCCGCTCCACCGCCCCACCGAACCGGGAGCCACATCCGCCAATGAGATCGCTTTCTCAGCCTGCCAACTCGAGTTTGTCTAAGTCAGAATTACCGGCCCTAAAGTATCGAGCAGGGGATGGGAAACTATTAGGTTCCGTTGTGGCGCACACTGCCGTCGTTTTTCTTTGGAATTTCGCGCTGAACAGTGCTTACGTCGTGCACAAGGTCTCCGCCGGCGTCGCAGCCCCTCCTCTTCCCCTTCCCACATTCATTGTAGAGTGCATCTCTCAATGACGGTTTTGGCGGTGCTAAAGATTGAGTCCCATCGTAAGCTCCACGCGTATGCCATTGAGAATTGAGTCACATTACACGTGACTTTCAACATTGAGCGGGATTGAAAGCTTCCCAATGGCTTGAAAGCGTCTCAATCGATTTCATAGACATGCGGGTTTCCCCGATGCCGGTGCTCTAAGGCTGCCGATGGAATTGGAGTCTGCACATGCATCACTGGCTGAAATCGACGATGTTGGAGCCCAAAAATACTCCCCGTCCCTGCTACCCAAACGAACATAGTGCCCCAGTGTGTAGGTTAAGGAGGACCAGATCCTCAGGGGCAGGGGAGGACGACGAGACATCGCGCACGCAATGACAACTTCCTCTGGGCAGAAATACTTTTCTTACTGGAAGTATGGGTCCTGGTGTTGACTAACCTCAGCGTCTGAGGGCGGACTCAGGTGAATGAACATGATACTCGAGTCCAGGGAGTTGAAAGTGATCGGACTGCGGACTTGACGACGATCGGGCGCCTCCGGCACAGTCCGTCGGCATTTCCGGACAAGGGGGTTCAGAGCGTAGGAACGAAAAATTGGAGGACAAAAGAACCCACTAGAGGGCGAAGCTGGAGCGCGACGACGGCAAAAGGAGAATGACCCGTAACGGAATTGAACCGTTGACCTTGTGGATGTTCCAGGCACTGGAATCACACATTCTACCCCTGAACTAACGGGTCTTACTGCAGTCTTAGACTTTAAGCATATATCATAGCAACGGCCCCATGGTCTGCACTGGAGGCGTACATGCACCTGACCAGGACGTGCTTGAATCAGATCACTGCCAGCGATTCGTAACAACATCCACCCTGTACTGCACCTATTACGTCCCTTCCATTTCCTTTGCTATTAGACTCTCTTTCCTTTCTAACAGGCACAACGCATTACAGCTCGAAATCTAGTCTCGGCATCGACTTGCATGGCACTTGGAGTCCGCTATGACTATGAACGTGGTCAGACACAGACCGGAGTGATGTCGGAAACCTGGTGGGAATGACTCAACATTTACTACAGTATCAAGGCGAAGCTTACAGTACTAATAGTACCACAAGTGCCCAATGACCCAAAATGGTATGGAACCGTTGACCTCTCAATTCCTTGTACTGTATTTTATGAGAAGTAGACGTTGCTGACCTGCTGTTGACGCTCGGTAGAGTCCGCACGTTTCTCCGGTCGATAACGTGCTCGTTCGCGTCCCATCGACCCACGTGTGCTGCCCTAGGTTACGAAACCCTCCACCTATGGCCCGCTCTCCATGTGCTTTCTGCACAGTGCTTCCTTCAGGATTGCTAGCGATAACGAGGAGATGCGCCTGCCCCGGACACCGGCCTGCTCAGCCCTGCTCAGCGCTCGTCTCGTAGCGCCACTTAACTTGTTGCTATGCGAACCTCGTGGGAGGGGCGTAGTCCATCATCCAAGTGGAGCACTCGTCGCGCGGTCTGTCGCCTATGAATAAACCTCCCGCAGGAGATTAGACAACCGGAGGCATCGCGCGCCACATGGGTGCACGACCGGGGTGGTCTTCGCGAAGACGTCCCGGTGCCGTTAACCTCTGCTGGTATAAGAGCTCGCTGGTGATTGCTCGTGCGCGCGATCGTAGTCGTTCCCCCAGACCCATGATGCGCACGACGTCGATACTGGCCGCTGCTTCTTTCCTCGGCCTCGCGGCGGCTGGCCCGCTCGCTGATGTCGACGCCATGTTCGGCCGCTCGCACGCAGAGCTCATGCCACGTATCGCGTCGTCCTGCTCGACGACGGGTACTGCGTCCTGCACCAACACCACTGCCACGGGGACCTGCTGTCTCGAAGGGCCAGGAGTGCGTCCTGTGTTCTGCACCGACAGCATGCTGCTGACGCTGTGCAATAGGGCCTCCTCCTGCAGACGCAGTTCTGGGACGCGAACCCGAGCACAGGGCCGACGAATAGCTGGACCGGTGCGTCGCCTTACCAGCGCACGGGCACCCCCGGAGCTGAAGCTTGTTGTTCTCGACAGTCCACGGTCTGTGGCCGGACAACTGCGACGGCACGTTCGAGCAGAACTGCGACTCCTCCCGTGCCTATACCGGCATCGCATCTGTTCGTGGTCTATGCTATGTGTGATGCACCAACTCATCGCCATCTCGCGCTGCACAGTTGTTGACTGCGCAAGGGGCCTCGAGCACCCTGTCGTTTATGCAGGAGGCGAGTGCACCCGCATCTCCTCCCAAACAAAGCAAAGGTCCTAACATGGAACGCTTCCCTTCCTCCAGTTTTGGAAGGATATCTCGGGTGACGACGAGTCGTTCTGGGAGCACGAGTGGAGCAAGCACGGCACGTGCTTGAGGTGCGTTCCTAAAGTCACTTCATGATCGAGGGAAGCGGCTTATGCTTTGACTTCATAGCACTCTGAAGACGTCGTGTCTGCCTTCGGGAAGCGCGAAGGGCGCAGAGGTCAGTCTAGCTTCCTCGCCGTGTCATTCGCATCGCTAACCGTGACTCAGGCTGTCGCGTACTTCCAAACTGTCGTGAAGCTGTTTAAGGTACGTGCAGCGTTTCCTTGCTGACGTTTCTCAACGTCCTCGCAGACGCTCCCGACATTCGACTTCCTCAACGCAGCGGGCATCACACCCAGCTCCACGAAGACCTACACCCTCTCGCAGATCACCGCCGCCCTCAAGTCCGGTTCTGGCTTCACCCCCACTGTGAACTGCGACGGCGTGAACCTGAACGAGGTGTGGTACTACTTCCACCTTCGCGGGTCGGTCATCGACGGCGCGTTCTCTGGCATCAGTACGTTATTCCTCCTTCCTGTTCCCGGGTTTGACGGTTTCTTTCTCCAGACGCCCCGAGCTTTGCAACGAACGACTGCCCGACCTCGGGCATCAAGTGGCTCCCCAAGTCTGGCGGGACGACGACGACGGGCGGGAGCAGCCCGACCAGCACCACCGGCGGCACAGCAGTGCGTCTCCACGCGAAACTTTCGAAAGCTAAATACCCATATCGTTTACAGCCGACCGGTGTACCTTCCTCCTTCACCGTAACCGCCCTCCGCTCGTCCGGCTCGACGAGCGGCGGGCTTCTCTCAGGCGGCACATGGTCCACTCAAACGCTCGCAACGTACAAGGCTGCGACGAGCGGGTCGGGCTTCACGCTCACGACTAGCAAGGGCGCCTGCGCTGTCAGCAGCGGCACCCTCACATGCGCGAGCGGGAACAGCGCTAGCGTGTTTACTGCGGTGCGTTTCTACTTGAACCTTCATCGTATTCAGTGCTGACGAGATCAGGTTACGAGCGGTTCGCGCACGCTTCTCGCGTTCAACGGGTCTACCGCATTCTCAAGTGACGCGGTCCCGAGCGGTACGGTCCAGGAGACAGTATTCACTGGCTCGAGCCACTCGCAGGCGTATCAGTTGGTCGTGACCAGCTGATCGTCAAGCGTCAAACTGTGGGCCTTGATGTTTTTCTATCTGTATTTTCACCACGATACCAAATGAAACGATTATGTATGTATACCCCCGTCTTGGATGACGTGTAAGTCGAGTAAGCGACAAGTGACCTGGATTATAAGTTATGGCGTACGCCTTCCCAGTCTTTAACGTTCGAGTCAACGCTGTGAAGAGACACTCTGGCAGTCACTGACATAATATCTTCAATATGGAATCTCTGGAAAGCAGAGACGGAGACGCTTACTGAAAAGTAAGGGCACCCGAAGTGACTTTCCCGAGCAATTATTGACTGCTGGTTTACATCGCAAAGACATAAAGGATAAGAAAACTAGTCCTTAATACGAGGAGGAAAACAATGGTTCACGCCGGGCTCGAACCGGCGACCTTTCGCGGTCACGATGTGAGGCGAACGTGATAACCAACTACACCAGCGAACCATGAAGGAAATCGCTGGATGTAGCACACACGTCATGCTGGGCTTTCGACCGGGCCGTCGCGCGGTTGACGCGTGGTTCGATTCTCCGCTCGCCGCGCCTTGCCTCCTGCTTTCCCCGTCTGTCGCAATGGCGAGCTTGCTCGACGCGGTGCTCGGTGATCCCGACGATCCTGGCCGCAGCCTGGTGTACTTCTTTACCGCGTTCGTCGCTGCCGGCATCTGGCTCGTGTTCAGACGCTACGAGGACGCGAAGAACAGACCCGTGCCCTTCGTCTGGGACGCTCCCGAGGCGAGTCCGCTGCTTAGCGCCGGCGAGCTCGTTGACTGACGCGTCCTGCTCGACAGGCCGCCTCGCCGAGCTGGACGGGCCAGACGCTCCCGCAACCGTCGCTCGAGGCGCACCTGCTGAACCCGCTGCTGGTCCCCGCGGCCCACCCCGCGCACTCGAACAACGGCAACGGCGGGAAATGGATCACGTGCTTCGACCCGGCGACCGGGATGCACATCGCGACCATGCACGCCGACGACGCGTACGAAATCGGGCAGAAGATTGGCGAGGCCGGCGCCGCGCAAAGGACGTGGAAGACGACGACGTGGAACGAGCGGCGACGCGTCGTGAGGAGTCTGCAGAGATGGCTGCTCGACAATAAAGAGCTCTGTGCGCGCGTCGCGTGTCGCGACACCGGCAAGACCAGTGCGTATTCAGCGTGTCGGGTTGGACGTATAGCTGACGGTGATGCAGTGGTCGACGCGGTGCTGGGCGAGATTCTCACCACACTCGCAAAGATGGACTGGATCATCAAGCACGGCGAGAACGAGCTGAGGCCGCAGAAGCGACGAGGGAACTTTATCCTCATGCACAAGACCAGCTACGTCTACTACGAGCCGCTCGGCGTCGTAGCAGCCATCGTCTCCTGGAACTACCGTCCGTCATCTCCCAACCTAGCTTTCTACTGTAAACGCTGACGCTCCGTACACCCAGCTCTGCACAACGCGCTCTCCCCCATTCTTGCAGCGCTGTTTGCGGGGAACGGCATCGTCGTCAAATGCTCGGAGCACGTTGCGTGGAGTACGGCCTGGTTCGTCGGCGCCGTGCGCTCGTGCATCGAAGCGTGCGGACACGATCCGGACATCGTGCAGGTGCGTTATCCTTCCTTCCCTTCATCTTTCACATCCTATCCCTCTTGCCGTACCCGCGCTCATCGACGCCTCACAGCTCGTAACCTGCTGGCCCGAAGAAGCGCCCACACTCACAACCTCCCCATGGATCCGCCACATCACCTTCATCGGCTCCGAAGTCGTAGGCCGCAAAGTCGCCGAAGCAGCATGTCGAAACCTCACACCCGTAACGCTCGAGCTGGGCGGGAAAGATCCAGCGGTGATCATGCCCGGTACACCTCTAGAGCGATATATTTCCATTTGGATGAGAGGAATCTTGTACGTGCAGCAGCGAATCCCGTAACTCTGCTGACGACTTTGACTGCAGCCAGGGATCTGGTCAGAACTGTATCGGTATCGAACGGTTGGTCGTTCACACGTCGCAACACGATCAGCTGGTCAACCTCCTCGCCGAGCGGGCACAACGACTGCGGCTTGGGTCTGTACTGGCGCCTGTGTTAGGCGAGGACGACGAGGACGACGGGACGGTGCGGTATAGACCGATTATTGATTGTGGGAGCATGATCAGCGCCGATAGGTGCGTCCCAACCACCCGAACTCTCGCTGTACTTATCGGGTTCTACCTAGGTTCTCGGAGCTGGAGCAGATTATACGGGACGCGGTGGAGGACGGCGCGGACCTCGTCACCGGCGGCGAGAGGTGGAGACACGCGTACCTCGAGCAAGGGTCGTACTTCCAACCTACCGTGCTGGCGAACGTACAGCAGGGTATGGAGATTGCGCAACAAGAACGTACGTCCTCCTCAGTTCCAGTTTCCACCCATCCAACGCCGAAACTCAGTGTTCGCGCCGGTCGCGCTTGTAATGCCGTACGAAACGGTCGACGAGGCGGTCGAGATCGCCAATGGGACGCGGTACGGGCTGGGAGCGAGCGTGTATGGGCCGGACCAAGATGCCGCGCTTGGTGTTGCGAGGAGGCTCGAGTGCGGGATGGTCAGCGTAAATGATTTCGGAGTCACTTATGTCAAGTGCGTCTTTCTTTTTCTCCTTCCTTTCTTTCCTGACGCGTTTGCAGTCAAGACTTGCCGTTTGGAGGAACGAAAGCGAGCGGATACGGACGGTTCGGTGCGTCGCTGCCTCCATTATATTATTCCTTACAGTACTCTATCTGACTTCGTGTAACTTAGGTGGACCAGAAGGTCTGCGCGGCTTGACATGTCCCAAAGCGGTCGTGGTCGATACATTCCCGCGCATCATACAAACCTCCATCCCGCGCGTCGTGGATTACCCCATACGCAGTCTCCTGCAGTCGTGGTGCGTCCCTTTCCCCTTCCCCACTCTGACAAAATCATAATGCTACTTAGGGAGTTCTTGAGCGGGTTGATGGGATTTATTTACGGCCTTGGATGGAAGGAACGTGTGGCGGGGTTGATTCGACTTGCGTTGGCGGGTCGGTGAGCCTGGAAGGTGCCGGGGAAGGTGGTGCGCAACGATGATGTTCATGATAGATCTACGATGTTGGGGAGGGTGGGATGCAAAATGTGCAATTAGACCGTTGGATTGTTGTACCCGGTGTGACTCTGCCCGCAAGTACGACGCGACCTCCGCTGTGATGAAAGGGTGCGCGACGATGAGATGATAGAAATTCGAGGGTAGGGCTGCACAATGTACAGGCTTTAGGCTTTTCGTTCTGCGGTCAAAAACTCCGCCTTCGCAGGTTGACATCCTTCCACCATGAGTGCTGCTATCGCTCCAACCTTGCCACTCGAACTCGTCTATCAAGGCCTCACGATATCTGTGCTCGACAATATTAATGTGCGGGAGGGCCAAGTGCGCTAGGCAGCCTGCTTGCTCGGACTTTCGAGATCGTGTCACATTGTCCTTCGGCCGGTCCTCTACCACCGGATACTCGTGCCATTGGACATGCAAAAGCGCAGGACCACCGTATCACGCGACCACCAACATGACACGACAGGACCCCGTTCTTGGCTGACACGCGCGAGCTTCATACTGCGATTGCCGGGCTGAGATCTAGACCTAATCCCCCCTTAGACTCGGACGACGCGGTGGAAGCGTTTAGAAAGGCGGCCGTGCCTTCACGACTTCATACCGCTCGAATTACTCCGTGCGCTCTCGGAGAAGCCGACTGTTGCTCCTCGTACTATCGATGCCAAAATCCCGTGGCCAAGCGAGCTTAGATTCCTACATCGGCAGTCGCACATCTGTCCCTGCGCTTTCCGGATATCTCAGGGCCAGATACCAATCGATGGCGCCAATGGTTGCTACTTCCCGGAGAGTCTGAGCAGATGGCCTCAGTGCTCGAGCGCCTACCTGTCCTCACGCACCTCGCCCTATTTTGCGTCTGTCGGGGACTGTGCGTATTCGCAGCATGTCGATGCTCTTCTTCGCTCTCTTCAGGACCATCGAATTTATATGGTCGCGTCGGTAGATTTACAACGAATGCGCTGAAGTTACACCCGCGTCGTACTGTTGTCTGACTCTATATTATCTCCCCCCCCCCCCCCTGAGCGGTATTTGCGACTGCGGGCTCGAGCAACATTTGGATTCTCCGCCGCTTTTGAGCATGTTGCTTTCTCAGCCAATCCATCGATCTGTTTTCCGGACACGTCGAGCGTCTGCTGTATGTTGACTACACATGGATCGAACATAGTACTCGTGTCACAATATAGCATCCTGCCGCCTCCGCTTGCGCTCGAGTCAGTCGGCTGCCGAGAGAGCTCCCCACGTCCAAACATTGCAAGCGCTCATCCTGCGTTTGCTGTATCCTCTCAACCTGCCTTGCAGTCTCAAACAGTACCTTGTGGATCTCGAGCTCGGTCCCGCACGTCTGATCATCATCAACGACATTCAGTGTTGCTCCCTGAAGACCAGTGCGCACTGCGTAGTACTGCCGTGTTACAGCGCCTCCAAGCATTGCTGGAGCGCATGCACCGTTCTGCAGCCGGTGCTTCAAGCTCAAACGAGCCAGGGGCGCATTCACGTTCGGCGTCTGTTGAGATGCAGTTCGCCCGGATCCGGGTTGTGAAGCAACTTCGAAGTGGAACGCTAATCTCAGTCTATCGAGCGCTCCGGCTTGTTATTGCGGTTTCTTTGCGATAGACCGTTATTGGATGGATGACTGTGCCGAAGATTTGAACTTGAATCAGGCTTCCAACTCCCGAGCTTTCCGCAACAGTACTGTATTGTAGCCTGCTGTTGCGGGCTCTTTACTATGATACACAGGCTGATGTCGGAGGAGCGCCTGTACCAAAGGTTCGCTTGTACACCCCGCCCGGGCGGATTGCAGGAATCCAGGTGTTCATTTGGATCGTTGGTTTCCACCGGTAGGAAACGCTGGAATCCGGCCGTTTCCAGCAGGAATTCAAAGATTTGGGAGACAGCAGGATTCCAAGAGCCTGACCACTGGAAGCCAGCGTCATGACCGGCTTCCTCTGATCGGACCAGAATGGCTCCACTCAACGGTTGCCCGACTTGATCTTGAGAGACGAGGGAGACGTCGACCAGCTCGTTGTGCGGTGTACATCCGTATGACGCTAGGATGCAATCTGTTGAGGCGACAGACTAGCACTGGGGCTTGCTTGAACGGAGACTACATAACACGGATCGTGACCCGGCGCTCGCGGCAACTCATGATGCCACGTCAGCCAAGTCAAGTTCGAAGTCCGATGGTTGGCTCTCGACTCTCTTGACGACGAGCAGCGGCGAGCGCAGACGGTCATAGAGGCCGCCTGCTAGCACGGTAACTTGTACCGCTCGGCCAGGGGCACGTGTCCTCTCATTCTGGCGCCGTAGCGCTGACAATATTTTTTTTTCTCGTTGCTGTGGCTCTTTCTCCATTTTCACTCCCTCACCCTACCCTCTC